ATCCACACCACTTCTACCACAATCACTCCCACAATCACCAGCATCCATACCACCTCTACCACAATCACCCCCACAATCACCAGCATCCACGCCATCTCTACCACAATCACCCCCACAATCACTAGCATCCACACCACCTGTACCACAATCACCCCCACAATTACCAGCATCCACACCACCTCTACCACAATCACCCCCATCACCAGCATCCACACCACCTCTACCACAATCACCTCCATCACCAGCATCCACACCACCTCTACCACAATCACCTCCATCACCAGCATCCACACCACCTCTACCATAATCACCCCCAAAATCACCAGCATGCACACCATCTCTACCACAATCACCTCCATCACCAGCATCCACACCACCTCTACCACAATCACCCCCAAAATCACCAGCATCCACACCATCTCTACCACAATCACCCCCACAATCACCAGCATCCACACCACCTCTACTACAATCGCCCCACAATTACCAGCATCCACACTATCTCTACCACAATCTCCCCCACAATCACCAGCATCCACACCACCTCTACCACTCACCTCAAAGTCAAGCTCAGTCTGCTCCATTACCATCAACATCTCTTCCTCTTCCTTTAAGAACACCACTTTCACAACTTTTACGGACTTCATCCCCTCTACGAATTCAAAGACCACTATCACCTCTGCCAACCAATATTACAACCAAAACTACGCTGTAGCCAGCGCATGTACCCTTATCACTACCACCACAACCCGTTCCGCAACCACCATCTCTTCCACATCCACACGTCAACTTCTACCACCATCGCCAGTTTTACAGCTCCACCGTTACTCCCATGATCACCATGTATACTCCTTTCACTATAACAAATACCACCATCGTCACGCCTTCCTGCCCACCTGCACGTAAAGATCTAGAGAATGTACAGGGAACTTTTATTGCACATATAAGTTCCATCAAACACCTTAACTACTGGGAACGCCTGGAAGCACTTGATTTGTACTCACTGGAGCGTAGGCGAGAGATACATCATAATCTGCACCGGGAAGATCCTGTAGGGACTGGTTCCTAATCTGCGCACAGAAATCACTCCCTACGAAAGCAAAAGACTTGGTAGGCGATGCAACATACCCCTAGTGAAAAGTAGGGGCGATATTAGTACACAAAGAGAAAACACAATAAGTGTCCGGGGCCCAAGACTGTTCAACAGCCTCCCACCAGCTTTAAGGGGAATTACCAATAGACCCCTGGTTGTCTTCAAGAGGGAGCTGGACAGACCTTAAGTCAGCACCGGATCAATCTGGTTGTGGTTCGTATGTTGGACTATGTGCGGCCAGCAGTAACAGTCTCGTTGATCAGGCTTGATCCACCAGGAGGCCTGGTCATGGACCTGGCCGCTCCAGGTAGCCTCCAGGTAGGTAAACCCCGAACTGCTCCTACCATCTCCACCATCCTTTCCATCTATCTATTTCATCCACCTCCATTATTCCTACTATCACCAAAATTCGATTTCCACTACACCCACCAACAATGCGACCTTCACCACTGCCACCAATCCCTCCCCCAGCTTATTCCAACACATTCATTAAAAATGTAAACAACAGCGCCACCAACTAAACACTATCATCAATCACACCACCACAATAAACATAATATGACTCCAAAAAAACATCATCAACACAAATCCATGTCTGTCATAAACACCATCACATCAGAAAACTGCAAACAAACGAAGTGAGGTGAAACAGATAGAGGGAAAGGAATGTGATGATTTACCACACACTGAATTGGAAGTGAAGAGTCAGAGAGGAAAAGGAAGAAGTAGAAGAAAGTTTGACAGGATGAGAGCACGTGAGTTATCAACTGAAGTAACCTGGGAGAACTGACTGGGAAAGACAGAGGAAGTAGAGACAATATAACGTTATAGCAAGAGAAGGAAATATAAAAGAAAAATAACTGAAAATTGAGGTGAGCAGAGAAAAAGAATCTTGGTTGGAGAGAGTTCTGTTATCTGCAATTAACCAGGTTCCTGAACTGACAGGGATGAACTATGAGAAGAGGTACAAGGAACTGAACCTAACCACTTTGGTGGAGAGAAGGACTAAGGGATACCTCATAATGACGTACAATATTCAAAGGGGATTCAATAGAACAGACGAAGGCAGACTATCTGAAATGCAAGGTACAGGTGCGACAAAGCAAAGGTGGAATTTAAGAAAGCAGATTAATCAGAGGGATAGTTATTTGTATAACTAACACATAGAAGAGATAAGCTTATGACGACGTTTCGGTCTGACTTGGATCATTTACAAGACACACTAACACAAGGGAGTGAGGGAACCAATATATATAGGCGAAAGGGTAAGGGACGTGACAAAGAGAGGAAGAAAAAAGAAATAGTGGTCGTGGTAATGCTGGTAATGGAAGAAGTGGTAGTAGTAGCTGTGGTCGTGGTAGCAGAAAGTAGGGGGAGTAGTTTCAGTGGCACAAGAGATAGAAAAGGAAGTGAAGGGAGGCAATAGCAATGATAGTACCAGTAGTAATAGTAATAAAGTGGTAGTCGTAGTAGTAGTAGAGCAGGAGAGCTGAAGGTCCACAAGTGATAGGACCAAAAACACACTGGGGAGGGGAGAGGGAACCGAAGGACAGAACAAGAAACAGAAGAAAGAAAAATAAAAGAAAGAAATAAGGAAAATATAGGAAGAGAGAAGAGGCTGGGAAAGGAGGAGAAGAAAGGATAAGGTCAAGTCACGAGTGTTCTGAAGTTTGAAGCATTTGACAATGTAAAGAGAAAGGAAGACATCTACAGAGACAAAGCCAGGACTAAGAGTCATATTAGGACAACTATGTAAAAGGAATACTTGGTATAAACCTTGTCTATAGATACCGACAAATTGGTCGGTATCTATTTCCGGGGATGGTGTAGACGCCCGCTACGCACGTCTACACCATCCCTTGTGGATACTGTCCCACGAAATATATAGGGGGAAACAGTAAGAAATCACTCAGTCCGCCTGAACGAACATCGAAACGCCAGCAACAGAGACGACTCCACAGGATATCTGATGAACTGGGATGAGTCACAGTTCGTCCTCACCGAACAAGGTCTTAGACGCAGACGATGTCTGGAAACCTCGCTAATCGACACCATTGAGCATATTACTGGAAACTAAAACATTTCCATACACGATACTCAACCAGGCAAAGCACCAAATACCTAACAACACAAGAGTCACGTAATCACATTGTCTACCCGTCCTCATCCCTATACGACATTTTTTTTAGGTCACCATGCGTCACTCACATGTTACTCTCCGCCTGTATATACTATCTTTTTAACTTCTGTATGTTAGAGGTGATCAAGAGCACAGGGTCGAAACGTTTTCTAATAAATATGCCCTAGTGTTTGCTTACGTGTCTTTTAAACCATAAGTTATAAGTCAACAGGACGGCGTCTGAATCAGGGGGATGTTAGGAGATACTTATTCAATGGTAATGTCAGAGGTAAACAAGTAAAATGAGCTGGATGAGGAGGTGGTGGAGGCAAATCCCACTCCTAGTTTCAAGAGTAGTTACGATAGGGTCCAAGAGGCCAGAAAACAGTAAATGCTAGACAAGTTAAAGGACCTCTGAGAGCCAAGTCTAGCCTCCACTACCATAACTCGAAGACACAGTTCAGTACATATATTCCGTTTACCAATATCAATATCTAACCACAATGACGTACTAGCGTATATGTCAAGGTTTCCGATATTTATGAAAAGACCATCCTCTTGTATTCTCTCAGAAACTATTGACATTTGCTCAGAATAAGAATAAAACACAGAAATATTAATGATGAAACTCGAACTGAATCGACAATAAAAACACAAAGCGACTATTATGTAAAATCTATCATTTGAATATTCAGAATTTTAACTCAGTTCTACAAACTCTTTTATAGAAAAGAAAAAAAAACACTTTATTTTCAACAGTGTTCATAAAAACCAATTATTTGTCTCGAATTCTTGTATCGTGCGCTGATTTGTTTAATATTTAATAAAGCTTTGAATGCAAAACAAAAACACAAATCAGTTCTCCTGTCACGATTATTGTTTCAAATGTGTGTACAGGTCAGGTTAATGGTTATTCTAGACAGATTTCATTTATTCCTTTCATGCTCGCTGCCTCCTTTAAAAATTCCTACCTTCCCTTACTTCCTAACTTTAGTTTTATGTAAAGATCTTATGATACCAGTCTTCCTTAGTTTGAGGTCTATGAAATTCATTTAAATTTCCTTCCGTGTCTTTGTCATCAGACTACAAGTGGAGAGTTATTATCTACTTCCTCCATGAAGGTATATATGCCCTTTCTAACTCACCAGTTCAATCATGCATTGGAAGACCAATGTGAGTTGGCATCCACGGAAAGTTTATTCAGTACTGTCCATAATTGTACCATACCTGTGTCTTGCTTCTGACACGCCTATATCACAGACACTCATGGAATTAAGAGCATTCATGGATAATTGGGAATCAGTTATCTTTAGGTACATAGACAAGGAGTACTGCAAGCAGCTCACTTTGAAGTGTGGTGGCCCAGTTGTTGATGCTCCAATTTCCATACAGGAGACATCGCTTCCTCAGTATATGTAATTTGTGGAAGAGATTGCTGTGTAACTAAAACATCAGTGTGTCTGGGATAGATTTCTTTATCCAGAAATGCTTTAAATCTTCACTTGGATCAGTAGTTTGTGTGAGAAACGGGCTTATATCGCTAGGTCTATTTTCTCTGTAAATGTCGCTAGATACTACAAGAGTATTTTTTTTTTTCACTCCGTGTTCTCTATACTTTCAAAAATCGCTAATCCTTATACGTTTGCGCTTAGCGGAATCGAGATCGAGACTTTAGCATTTCTTTCGCTGAATAATCTACACAGGTTTAGTGCTTCACATTTTTTTTAACAAGTCGGCCGTCTCCCACCGAGGTAGGGTGACCCAAAAAGAAAGAAAATCCCCAAAAAGAAAATACTTTCATCATCATTCAACACTTTCACCTCCTTACACATGTTTCACTTTTTTTGCAGAGGTGTTTCGGGAATACAAAAAGTTTAAAAAGAATATAGGGGAAGTTCAATAAAAATCTTTCCCCCCCCCCCGTAAGCCAGGGCGTGTTCAAAAATTTTTTCAACTAAAATGCCGGGAACAATGGGTAGAAACCCCTTTTTTAATGAAATAATTATTTAAAGAGAATAAAAAGAAATTGCTTAAAAATTTTTGATAAAAAAATTCCCTTTTTCCCTTTTACCCTCATACTTTTTCCCTTTTTCCCATCACATTACCCTTTCCACTCCCCCATTCCACCTGAACCCCATTTTCCCCATTCCACCGATTCCAAAATCTTCTGTTTCCCCCCTTTCCCCCCACCTCTCCCGTCACTTGCCCTACCCCCTCGATACCGAAAAGCGTCTCCAGGATAAAAAAACTTCCAATCCCTTCCTTTTTGCTCCAGCAAAATGAAAACCAGACTTGCTAAATCAAAAAAGAAAATGGATTTTACATTTCGTGTTTTGTGTGTGTGGGTGTATGTGTGATACAAACACACCACACCAAACACCCCACACCACTCACCACACACACACACCACACACACCACGCCAAAACACACACACACATACACACACACGACACACACACAAAACACCACACACAAACAAAAACACACACACACACAAAAACAAAACACACACACACACACACACACACACAACACACACACACACACACCGCACACACACACACACACACAAAACCCCAACAAAACAAAACAAACACACACACACCCCACAAACACACACGCAAAACAAACACACACCCACACACAAAACACACAACAACCACCAAAACAACCCACACAAAACCAAAACACACACACACCACGCACAGAAACACGCACACGGGAACATACACAAAACCACACACACACACACACACTCCCCCCCACACACACACACGCACACCCCAACACGCCCCCACACCCCCACACACACAAGACATACACACACACACACACAGCAGCGAGTCATGGTACGTGGGCGAGGGTGTCGGGGGAAACCTGTGACCAGCGGGGTCCCCAGGGGTCAGTCCGGGGACCAGTGCTTTTTTTGGTATTTGTGAACGACATGACGGAAGGAATAGACTCTGAGGTGTCCCTGTTTTTCAGATGACGTGAAGTTGTTTAGAAAAAATTTACTCGATCCCAAAACCAGGCAGAAAATACAAAGGGGTCTGGACAGGCTCAAAACCCCCGGGCCAGCAATTGGGCTCCCGGGGTTCAAACCCCCCAAGTGCAAAGTCATGAAGATTTGGGGGAAGGGGAAAGAAAAGGGCCCCAGACGGGAGTAAGTCTAGGGGGTTTAGAACTACAAACCTCACTCAAGGAAAAAGATCTTGGGGTTTGGGATAAACACGGCACATCTCCTTTAAGCGCAAAAACAACCAAAAACTGCTGCAGCATATGGGCGCCTGGGGAAAACCCCAGAAAAAGCAATTTTCCCACATTTAATAAGGGGAAACATTTAGGCCCCGAAAAAACCCGTGTACGTTTAGGCCATATTTGGGTATGCGGCCCGTTTGGAAACCCCCACCTAGTCCAAGCACGTGAAAAACTAAAAAGAAAATGCAAAGGTTTGGGAACAAGACTAGTCCCAGAGCTAAAAGGGGTTTTTTCCTACGGGAGGAAGGTTTAAAAGGGAAAACAACCCGACGGGCACGGGGGGACCCGGAGGATAGGGGGGACAGATAAAGAATTTCAAAATACTGAGAGGGAAATTTTGGGGAAAAAAAAGGGGGGCAAAGACAGGATGTTCCGAGATTGGACACAGTAACCCAAGGGGGGAAAATTTTGGAAAACTGGGAAAACCAAAATGAAACACAGGGATGTTAGGAAATTTTCTTCAGCCCAAAAAGAGTCATAAGTGGAATAGTTTGGGAAAACGAAAGTGTGGGGGCGGATCCCTACATAGCTTTAAAACAGAGGTATGATAAAGGGTCCGGTCAGGGAGAAATGACCCAGTTTGCGATCAGTGAAGAGGCGGGGCCCGGAGCTCGAAATTTTGACCCCCCCCAACCTCAACTAGGTTGGGGTACAACTTGGTGAGTACACACACGCACACCCACACACCACACAAAAACACAAACACACGCACACGCACAAAGACACAAACACACAGACACACACCCCACCACACGCACCGCTCACGCAACCCCCACACGCACACGCACAGCCAACACCAAATCTGACCCCGGAAAAAGCCCTTTATAGGGCCCCCATTAGGAGGAAGACAACAGTCCCAAATACCAGGGGATAAGGCTGGGGAAAGAAGGGGGGAAAACTCACAAGAAACGATCAAGAGGTATGTGAGGAGCTCAACATGAGATTTAAGGAAGTATTTACAGTGGAGACAGGAAGGCCTCTGGTGGGACAGACCAGATGGGGACACCAGCAAGGAATACACCAACAAGTGTTGGACGACATACATACAGATGAGGAGGAGGTGAAGAAACTGCTAAGGGACATCGATACCTCAAAGGCAATGGGACCGGACAACATCTCCCCGTGGGTCCTTAGAGAGGTAGCAAATGTGCTTTGCGTGCCACTTACCACAATCTTCAACACGTCCCTGGAAACTGGGCAACTACCTGAGGTATGGAAGACGGCAAATGTAGTTCCCATTTTTAAAAAAGGAGACAGAAAAGAGGGACTAAAACTATAGACCTTGTCACTGACGTGTATAGTATGCAAAGTTATGGAGAAGATTATCAGGAAGAGAGTGGTGGAGCACCTGGAACGGAACAAGAGTATAAATGCCAACCAGCACGGATTCATGGAAGGCAAATCCTGTGTCATAAACCTTCTGGAGTTTTATGATAAAATAACAGAAGTAAGACACGAGCGAGAGGGGTGGGTTGATTGCATCTTCTTGGACTGCAAAGAAGGCCTTTGACACAGTTCCTCACAAGAGATTAGTGCAGAAGCTAGAGGATCAGGCGCATATAACAGGAGGGGCACTGCAATGGATCAGAGAATACCTGACAGGGAGGCAACAACGAGTCATGGTACGTAATGATGTACAACAGTGGGCACCTGTGACGAGCGGGGTCCCACAGGGGTTGGTCGTTGGACCAGTGCTATTTTTGGTATATGTGAACGACATGATGGAAGAGTTAGACTCAGAGTGTCCCTGTTTGCAGATGATGTGAAGTTAATGAGGGAGAATTAAATCAGATGAGGACCAGGCAGGACTTCAAAGAGACCTGGAAAGACTGGACACCTGGTCCAGCAAAGGCTTCTCGAGTTTAATCCTGCCAAATGCAAAGTCATGAAGATAGGGAAGGGCACAGAAGACCACATACAGAGTATAGGCTAGGTGGCCAAAGACTGCAAACCTCACTCAAGGAGAAAGATCTTGGGGTGAGTATAACACCGAGCATGTCTCCGGAAGCAACATCAACCAGATAACTGCTGCAGCATATGGGCGCCTGGCAAACCTGAGAACAGCATTCCGATACCTTAGTAAGGAATCGTTCAAGACACTGTACACCGCGTATGTCAGGCCCATACTGGAGTACGCAGCACCTGTTTGGAACCCGCACTTGATAAAGCACGTCAAGAAACTAGAGAAAGTACAAAGGTTTGCGACAAGGTTAGTTCCAGAGCTAAGGAAGGGGAATGTCCTATGAAGAAGGATTAAGGGAAATCGCCTGACGACATTGGAGGACAGGAGGGTCAGGGGAGACAATGATAACGACATATAAAATACTGCACGGAATAGAAAAAGGTGGACAAAGACAGGATGTTCCAGGGAGGGGATAAAGAAACAAGAGGCCACAATTGGAAGTATTTCTTCAGTCATAGAGTTGTCAGGCAGTGGAATAGCCTAGAAAATGACGTAGTGGAGGCAGGAACCATACACAGTTTTAAGACGAGGTTTGATAAAGCTCATGAAGCAGGGAGAGAGAGGGCCCAGTAGCAACCGGTGAAGAGGCGGGCCAGGAGCTAAGACTCGACCCCTGCAACCACAAATAGGTGAGTACAAATAGGTGAGTACACTCACACACACACACACGCACACGCACACACACATACACACACATACACATACAGAAAAGCGGTAAGCAGGTCCTGGAGCCGAGAATTAGTCCCTATAATTACATATAGGTGAGAACATATTCACAAATATAACAGTAAGGCATTCATTTACACACTCTTTTCTCCTACTTTCTCTTCCCCCTCCCCCCTTCAGTTTTCTCGCGGTTCCTCTTACTCTTTTCTTCCCATCCTCTTTACACTTAACCTACTTTCCCTACTTCTTATCCTTCATCTCCTCTCCGCCTTACTCTCCTTTCAGCACCACTCTTCCTCTCTCTCTCTCTCTCTCTCTCTCTCTCTCTCTCTCCTTCTCTTTTCACCCCTCCTCTCTCTCTCTCTCTTACCACAAGGAAGCCACGACACATACACCATAAGAGGTAGACGTTAAGTGGCGAGGTGCAGCATCTTCACCTAGGCTAAATCCCCCAGAGCTATCCCACCTGTCTGCCCACAGGTGCCCAGCACTCACACACACACACACACACACACACACAACACACA